GGTACCAGGAACCGAACTCACGACCTTGCGCTTGCCAGGCAGGCGCTTTGCCTCTGAGCTAAATCCCCAGCCCCAAAGACTCACTTTTTTAATGTTGCTGGTATACTGTTTCATTGCAATCTTTTCCACTGTACTTTCAAAACCAAAGAAGGATTTGATATCTAAACTTGCAGACTGTTCGAAACAGGTCCAGTCTTCATTCTCAGGATGAACCTGCAGGTACAAAAAAGGCACCCCCTCTAATACCTGGCTGGCTGACAGCCGTGTGTCTGCTTCTCAGGCACCTGGGAGCCAGAGGAAACACTTCCTGACAATGATGTACTATTATGAGAAGAGCAAGATGGAAAAATTACACGGAGGAATTCAAAATCCCAAAAACGTCCAAATCATAATTCTAAGATATTCTAAAAAGGACCATAAGAGTGCTTAGGTTCATTCATCCAACAGAAGAAGCAGCACTCTACACTTGGATCAAAACAAAGACCTTTGCCTTGTGCCATGGACAGCCTAATGGTGACACAGACAATTAGCCATGAACATAAAAGGCGAGAAAATTATACAGGATTGGAATGTGGGGGGAAAAAAGTCTGGAGCACGAGTAACAGGACTGGCGGTGGGAAATCACAGCAGCCTGCCTCATTCCATGGCTGGCTTTACCAAGAAGGGAGATTGGAGCAAAGACTGAAGGAGGAAGCAGTGGAAGTCCTTAGGGAGACATGCCTGTGTCTAGGGAACAGAAGAAGGCTAGCAGTTTTGCACAATGAAGCAGGGGCAGCAGAGATGTGAGCAGGATAGAATACGGGCCTCGTCAGCAGCTGAAGAGACTGCGAGGACGAGGTAGAGGCCACAGGGTTTTGAGCTGAGAAGAGACACAAACTGACAATACTTTAAATGGATGCCTTTAGATTTAGTGCTGAGCGGCAAAAGCGCCTGCCTGGCAAGCGCAAGGTCGTGAGTTCGGTTCCCGGTACCGGAGAAAAACCAAAAAAAAAAAAAGAATAGATTTAGTGCTGAGGATGGGGTTAAAGGCAGAAGCAGAGACCTATTAGGTTATTCTAGTACCTGGGGAATCCGTGAAGATGATAAGACAGGTAAATGTTCTTGGCACTGGTCATAGAGAAACACAGTATATTGGTCCTTCAAAACACATTTCTAAATAATTCGAGTGGGACCAGAAGAGAAGTCATATTTAAAAAAAAAAAAAAAAAAACAACCGAAGTATCACTTGGCTGCCTTAAATGTCATGACAATGCAATCCGCAATTCTCCAGTAAAGCAAGCATGCTACCCTGCTGATCCCACTAGTCAGAAATGAGTGACAGTATCTGGTGAAGAACTGCTCTCTCCAACAAAGAGATGCACTGCTCACAACAGAGGTCAAATCATCCCAGAAGCTGTGTGCCAGCATGGTCTTGCCAGCCTTTGCCAGGGCCGATTACTCACAGAGTAGCAGCAGTGCTCGTTAATGATGACCCGATTAGAAAACGTTTCGTTATGGGCCTCAATGTGCAGAGTACGTTCTCGAGAATTCAGTGAGTTTTTCTGGACAAAGTAAACATAATCAACTCCTGCAATCTTTAAAAAATAGAGAAAAAGGGTTTCTTAGTAACATCCAGTTGCACAGAGGCATAAGTACAAATTCACTCTGACTGTGGGAGCACTGCCTACTCTATGTCCTTTTCAGTTACCTTCTTCAACAGCCTGGGTGCATCTATGTACAGTTTGCAGCGTCTTTCAATGACATGAATGGCCCCATCTTCACTTTTGAATTCATTCACAGTGTCACTGTCCACGAACATCGGAATCAAAGGACACGTAGGGAACCTCCTTTCATAGGCCTATGGATCAAAAAGCAAAAAAAAGAGAAAGTGAATGAAAACTCAACCTGATAAGGTGTGACTGCTACAGAAAAAAACCCCGTTTCTCAACAGATGCCAACAGGCTACATCACAACTGCGCCTTTATATCTGCAGCTTTCATTCAAATGGAACAGACATTCTGTGTTCTTGGCAATTTTGAAAGACGTTAATTCTGTCCACACAGATACACAGGTTGAACATAATTTCTACCAAAATCTCAGGAAAAAATTATCATTATAAGCAAGATTATTTTAAGATTCGCATGGAAAGGCAAAGGAACTAGAATTGCTCAAGTGATTTTTAAAAAGGAAAAACTGGGAACACTCAGTTAATACCATAAGTATTAAGGCTTACTTATAGCTACAATTACATGGCATTGGTATAGATCAACTGGGTAGAACCCACAGCCCAGAAACTGACTCAAGCAAGTCACCCAACTGGACTTTTCCCTTTTTGGTACTGGAGATTGAGCCCGACACACTGCACATGCCAAGAATATGCTCTATCTAAGCCACATCCCTTGGTCCATACAAAAGATTCCCTATAGGAGCGCCAGCCTTCGGGCTGGCTAGCTTTCTGCCTGCTGGCTCCCGGTGGGTGGGCCCCCAGCGCACGGGGAGCCTGGGGCGGGGAGCGCCGGTTTTTT